GGGGGGGGGGGGGGGGGGGGGGGGGGGGGGGGGGGGGGGGGGGGGGGGGGGGGGGGGGGGGGGCACTCTCTCAGTGGCTTGCGTTGCGTCATCCCAATATTGAGTTTGAGCCCTGATCGGCATGCCTGCAACACTCCACACATGAACGCGGTTCGATAAGTTGGAGCGACTTGTTGTCCTCATCGGGGAAGGACAAGTGGAAGACGAGGACACAAGCTCATTGTTTCTGCCGTTTTGGTGTCATGTGCTTATGTACACGTAAAATTCTGCATTCGCATTATATGCCGAGATCTTGTGCAACTTGGTTCATCCGCACCCGGAGGCGTTGGGCCACACCCATATGGTGTAGGGGAATGATGGCAGCGTGCTTTCTTTCCACAAACTGATCGTATGCGCAATCCAGCAGAACATGGATGATGGCAGTGATGGCAGCGTGCTTCCTTTCCACAAACTGATAGTATGCGCACACCAGCAGAACATGGATGATGGCAGCGTACTTTCTTTCCACAAACCGATAGTATGTGCAGACCAGCGGAACATGCGACTCGTGCGGGGGGGGCGCATTGAGGGTCGATGGGCTGCGTTCCCGATCATCTTGCCCGGAGAGATTAAAAATGGTGTACAGCAGCGCGATAGGGGGGGTCGACCTGGTCTAGACGCCCTGTTACAGCGAAACGAAAGCTCGGATGCGTGGGCACCCAGAGCAAGCGGTTTGATAGACATACGAACACCGTGAACGACACGCAACATGACACCCCCCCCCGGGGATAACATGTACGGACTACGTAGTTACATTTTGGCAATGTCACCGGGTCGTCATGTAGAAGTATTCGCTTGGATGTGTTGTATCTGTGTGGCCCGGGTGATGAAGTGCAGGTCGCGGGGGCCATGAAAGAGATGCAAAAACCTGAAGGGGTGTTATGCATCCCCTACAGCACACTTGCAGGGACCGAAGGTGTGTGGAAAATCAGGGACGTCTGAGGACTGTCTGCACATAATTACCCACCGTGCCTACGGCCACACGTGTGGGGGGCGGGGTGTTTCGAGGGGCGTGGTACCTTTGAGTGCAAAAACCTACCGTAATGCTGCTGCTGCTGCCGCACCTGTAGGACGGTGTGTGTGGGTACTACTGAGCGGAGGGGTGATACCGCTGACACGACACACTTAGGCTCCTGCAGAGGGTGCTCGCAGTTGCGTGGTTGGGGGGAACGGGGAGGTGACAACTGCGTGACACTGGCAACGAACGCCAAAACCGCTCTCTCCACAACGGCGAAACAGAGTGTGCCGTGAAACCAGAAACAAGCTCTGCACAACACGTACAGCAGTAGTATTATGCCAAGAAAGCGGGGTAGTCTAGACACGAAGGTAGGTTTGTTTGCATTGGAGACCCATACGGCGTGGTTCCCCCGAACTCAGAGGGGTGCGTTGAGTATGTGCTACACTGGTCCATCTTGTATGTCACCAGAAACCATTGCTGTGTCGCTACTATACCGGGTGATATTAGCTAGCATGGCTTTCATCTTTTCATGCGTCTAGCCTCGGGAGGTGCTATCCATATGTCTTTACGTGAACCAGGTGGTAGTTCGACCCCTCCCTTGAGCTCCAAAAATATATAGCACCCGGCAATGCATTCTGTGGGGGGTGTCGTTACGTCCTGTGGGTGTCGTATCTTGTGCCGTACGCAGTACACACGAGAGAATACTTTTATTCTCCAGTTGAACCCAGCACCCTGCAGCTATCATCATCTTGAACACATCTCGAGGGTCCGACCCTGGCTTGTGCATGCGATACACGTGAAACCTACTATATATTATACCATATAACCCTTACCTTGTCAACACTAGACCTTCAACAAACTAAAACATGGGTCATACCGAATAATGTTTGTTTGTTATGTTTGTTTTTCTCCCATTATTGGACTCTGTCGTCTGCCCCTCTGGCCCCTATCCTCCAATTCAACCAGCTAGACGACCCAACCGGGGTCACATAGGAGTGGGGGGTTGGACCCCTTCCTGCGGTTCCTGTCTGAGATACTTATATCGCGAGAAGGGTACAGCAATCCCTTCCCTCGCGCCTTCAGAAGTCGATCAAGTTTACTAACAACGAGCTTTGCAGTGCATCGCTTCAAACGGAGACCGGGATTTATTTAGCGAGAAAAAACTCACTCTGTCGGGACTCGAACCCATGACCTGGCCCTTAGCAGGGCTGCGAGGCTACCCACTAGACCACCGGGGCGACCGGTGTGTACCATGTGTGTGACCGCCGGGTAAAACCGCCACCGCCGTCTAATCCCACCCGTCGCACAACACAAGGTTTCGGTGGTCACGGGTCCGACACCGTTCCAACACCGGAAAACTACAAAATAAAATCCCAGAAACTTGGCGGGATTGCCGAATCAGCAGCCAAGCGTGTGGTACTCCGGACAGACGATTAAACCTCCATCTGCTGTAAGTATGCATACGCAGATGCGCTTGACCGTTAAGCATGAATAGGGGGGGGTGGAGCTTCATTCACGCAACGCACTCCACAGTAACAGCAGTGCGCACCGAACAATTTCGAGACACCACGAAGCGGTGCTCGGGCTGCCGAAGTGACTCGTGAATCAAGCTGCACTTAGGGCGGACCGAGGGCAAAACCAATGGTGCGAACTATCATCGACGTATCCAACTGCTACTGTCGTCGTCAAACCAAATCCGCCCGTTGGGGTGTGAGAGATCTCAACGAGTCCGGCATGCCAAAAAAGGCCTACATATCGGTTATCGGCGCTGTGACAAAATGCGTCGCATACACTCCAGCAAACGAATCTCCTCTTTCAAGATGAAGCCTCCGCGGCCACAAAGCGGGGAAAAGGCCGGGATGAAGAGCGAAAGAGGAAGAGGGAAGACGCAGGCGACCACACACCTTTTCAACCCTGCAAACAGCGCTCACGTGCTTGCAACTTGCCAACCGTCGCAGCGGGCCGGAAGACATGCTTCAATGTTTGATCTGCTACAAGAGCTAGCTCACCCCGAGGGCGTGTTGAACGGGGGCGGGGGTGGCATTGGCGACGCCAAAGTTTGTTCCCGTCCTCCGTTTCCGTGGTCCAGGTTGTTCGGTGTCGCCGGCAGAGCACCCTCGGTCATGGTGGGAGAAGACATATCTCTGCTCTCTTGTGTCTCTCGTGTCTCGTTTGAAAAAGTCGGGCCCCAAACCGCCGCCTAAGGACGTCGTCCTTTTGTCTGTTCCCCCCTGAAAGACCCAGATCTCCGCTAGACAAGGGCAGGTACGAAAACGTCAACAGCAATAGGTGCTCTCTCTGTCGGACCGGGTGTGTTGTAGTAGCTGCTGTGGTGGTGGTTGCCTAACAGCAGAGCAGCTTGTGGCCGCGTTGTTTGGTGCGCTGCTACAGGGGGCTTCGCCCATGGTCTTTGCATATACCTATATTTCTCTCCCACTTGTAGGCCCCCCGGATGTGCGACGAATGGCTTTGGGGCGAGGGCGGGCGAGCTCACACTGCTCCGGTTTCTCTCCCGGTGCCCTCTCCCTCTATCTGCGTGTCGAGGTCCCAGGTAAGAAGCTGTCGTTTTTGTCTGCGCTCAAGTTTACCCCAGCGATCATGGAAGGCCAAGCAGAGCCTTTCTTGCACCGCCTAGCAAGCTCTCCGGCCTTCGATCTGCTGCTGCCGCTGATGCCCACAGGTTGCAAGAGATGTGTTGAGACAGCCAGCAGGTGGAGACATGCCTGTAGGTGTGGATTCGTCCTTCGTCAAGTTATCTGGTACTGGTTTTCTAGGGCACAACGAAAGCCGTGCTGCGCTAGTTGTCCCTCGCAGCGTGCGAACTATCGCTTTTTCCGGCTCTCTCGCCTGCTGCTTTGCGTCTTGTGGGTGCTCGTCCGCCCAGCGACTCTAACCGCGCCCCTCATCTACGCACAACAAGTACTCACCCGATGCTCTGCTCTATCCTTTCAATACTTGTAGCGCACCATGCTGCTGAATTTCAAGGGAATCCCGTGTTTTTTGTTGGCGCAACGCCCGTCAGCGACACCACTCGTGCCCCACACGGCGATACATGCAGCTACCGCTAGGGGACGTTAAATATCACACCCCCTACACCGGTTTTCAACGCTGGATTGCAATACTCCTCAGCGGAAAAGTTAGCGGTGCCGACAATGTGTCTATGATGTGTACGTCCTCATTGTCCTGGAGTAATCGAACTTTGAAAATCGCTTCAAAAGGGCGTGTTTCCGCGCGATGTAGGCACCCAGGTGGTGCTTTTGTCGCCCACACCAGCACATGTATCTAGACTCTTCGGGCAGCCCCGTGGAAGCGCCCGGCTTGACAAACATCACTGCACCAAGTGCAGTCTCCGCATCCTGTTTAGAGTATCCACCGCAGCGATGGGTCCTTCGTGTGCATGTCAAGTCAATGCTAGTCCAGAGGGCGTGAGTGAGTTCCAATCCCTAGGTGCCGTGACGTAGCATGGCAACCGCGAGCGTTGACCACTTCGAGTACATGTCCCCTGAGGCCCCCGCCCGCCGCATGCCTCCCCGAAAGCAACCAAATTTCCTCCCACCAGGATACTGCACCATGAGTAGATTGTATTTAAGGCTGCTGATTTTTCCCGTAAAAACAACGGATTTGCTGTTCCGCTGGTGGTGATGGCTCGTCACTATGTTGTCGATTCCACCATGTCCTTGGGGACACCTATTTAGACCGTTCCTCTAGGTTACCCTCGGTCACGACCTCTCATTCCACGTCGTTGCCCTTCTCCAATCATCTGTTGGTATGCACTATCCTCTCTCCGATTCTCTTCTTGGTGACCCCCTCCACCCTCTCCCTACAATGCACTTTCTTTCCTTGTTTGAGCCACCTCTGGCAAAAGTAGGAAAGAACGGTTGGCTTTTGGGTGATCGGTCCTGTGGGAAAATGCTCTGTGCTCTCGAAGACGCGTGGTCTAACCGCTAAGGCATGCGAAGCATGAGAGTACGCCCGCCCTGCACACTGTCGGGTCCTCACCCTTGTTCCGCCCCCCCCCCTGTTTGCTCTTATGGTGCCACCGTCGTCTGCAACGCCTTGTTGACGTCGGTCCAGCAGCTGCAATCATGGCGGACGAGGCTTTGACGAGCGAGCAAGTGGCGGAGATGCGCAAGAAGCGCACCTTCAGGAAGTTTACCTTCCGAGGGGTGGACCTCGACAAGCTCCTCGACCTCTCCATGGAGGTGCGTTTGTCATCATCCACCTTGGCTGTAGCTCATGTCGTGTGGTTTTTGTGTTTTTGTTGTGCAGGAGTTGGCGTCATCCGCCTCTTAGCCGCCCTAAGCTGTAGCTGTTGTCGTCTCTGCGTTGCTGCTCTTGGCGATATCTGCTCTGCCTTTTCGGCCTTGCTGGTCCTGCCCTTCGCTGTATCTGTTGTCGTCATTGCGTTGCTGCTCTGGGCTGAAACTGTTGTCGTTGTCGTGGCTGTAGCTGTTGTGGGTTGTGCAGGGGGAATGGTGTCACTCACGTGCCTTGGCTGTAGTTTTTGTGCGTGGAAGTGGCGGCGAGTTGTGATATTGTTTTGTACTCGGGTGCTAGATCCGTGGGTTGAAGCTACACGCCGATGGGGTGTCTGGTGTAGTCGTGACGAGCGATTACCTTTTGGGCTTGTCGCTGGATTGATGCCACCGCAATTGCAAGCAACGGACATTGCGTGTCTAGCAGCAGCAGCAGCAGCAGCAGTGAACTCACCGGTGCTATTCACGTTCCATTTTGGAAAGATGTATCTCATTTGCGCTTTCTCTCTCGGTCTTGCTGAGTGAAGGACGAGCCGAACCAATCAAGACCGGTTCCTGACGCACAATTTCCACGCTGCTTCTGTACTTGTTTTCGCCTGTGTCGTTGTTACGTTTTTCGTGCAAAAATTGCTCTGCGAGCAGGAGTTCATGGAGCTCGTGCACGCGCGCGCGAGGCGCAGGATGTCCCGCGGGCTCAAGCGCAAGCCCATGGCCCTCATCAAGCGCCTGAGGAAGGCTAAGAAGAGTGAGTCTTATCTGCCGCTTTTTTTTTGTTCTGTCATTTGTCTTTTTTCTCTCCAGCGCTCGTGCGTTGCCTCGGCCGCCCTTTTTTTGTCCCGTAAAACACGGTGTCACTGGTTGTGGCTTTCGTGGCACCCTTGAGCGAGTTGGTGTATGGCAACTGTAGTGACCTGGGTTATCGATGGTCTTTGACCTCCAGTATTTGTTCGTCTCCAACTCTTGACCTTGAGTCTTGATATGTGTGGACAAGGAACAACAGCAACGGGTATCTTTTGGTTGTTCTTGTATGTTTTAGGATAGAAGTTTGTAGTTTGTGGTAGCGAGAGGCACAGGCTGATGGTCGATACAGGCAAGCATCAAATCGAGATACTGAAATACTAGCTTCAGCGGCGGTAGAGCTCTGTTTCCCACACGCTCTTTTGCCCGGCGGGAGTCCCCTACCCCCCAAGAGGGTGTAAATGTGTCTACCCTGAACGGCGCACGTGATACATTTGCAACAAGTGCTGTCGTTTTGTCCTTGATTTCATGTGATGCGCAACACCGACTGTTTCGTTGGCTTGAATCTGTTGTGTCCTCACACTAACTATTCTCCCCCTGTTTGGGATACGAGATCGATCCGTAAGCCAAGAGCCATGAAGCCGTGCACAGTCGGCAGTCACCGCGCTCGGAAGACTGCTCTGCGTGGTGTTGTTGCTGACTGCCGGCCGACCGTTTTGGGTGGCCAAATCTCGAAATGGCATGGTAGCTGCTGTGAATGGGAAGTCCGTTTTTGATCAAGGTTTGGCAAAAGAAGACCTGAGAATTTGTTCGGCCGAGGGGTCTCGATAGGGCGGGTGGCCGGCGTGCTGCTGGTGCAATCTCTTGGCACCGATAGCCTGTTGGGCTTGTTTTATGCTTGGAATACACCGGGTGCCCGCTATCGGGCGGAGGGTGACTCAGCCTGGAACATACCCGTCCTGTTGAGGGCACAGAACTGCAACAGTGTAGCGACACGCGGCCGGGAGGATTGGCTCCCCCCCCCCTCCCCTCTCTCGGATGGTTACCAATGACGTATGGAAGGAGTTCAAGATTGACGAAGGTGTACTCCTTGAAAGGGACGGGCTAGAGGGATTCAAAAAATAAATATCTGTTGCTTTTGCTGAGAGAGAACATACTGTAAATAGAGAAACGAAGGATAAAGAGGGTCTAGATGTTTACAAAATGTTGGAGGAAGGAATAGGGTTCATGGAGAACCTACATGGACCAATGACAGCAAGGACAAAGCTGAAGGTCAAATGTAGGACGGGGGATAGTGGCCTTCGAGAGCGTAGACGAAGACTGGGGAAGGTAGACGTAAAAATTGAAATGTGGTTGCGAGCCCGGTTCCATGTAGTGGCGGAATGTCTGTTGGACAAGGAGAAGCAAGTGTACATGACTGAGCTGGGAAAAGTAGAAGGAAGATGTAGGGAGATGTTTGGAACATCGGACAATTAGAAGAAGGTGGTAGTAGCCGTACTGGGGCGTAGGCAGTGGGTCGGCAAGTGCTATCGATAGGATGGATAGGTTCGGAAAGACATTTTTGAGCCACCTTTTGCAATGTAGGAAGGAACGATTGGCCATCGGTAATCGTTCCTGAAAGAACAATGCTCCAGCCTCTCGAGGGAAGTCAATGGTCTAACCGCTAAGGCATCCAAAACTTAAGAATACGCCCCCCCCCTCCCCTCTATGAAGGTTTAGGAACCACGATCTGACTTTGGCGACCTGTTTTTCCTGGGAGATCTTTCCACGCGTCAATGTTAGAACTGTTGAAGCGCCCTTGGCCTTTCAATGTCGCCTCTCGGGAAAACTTGCGAAAGCAGGCGAAAAGCGCGCTCCCACCATGCGGCGGGAACTGTGCCGGTCATAACCAGAGAGGCTATTATAGCTCAACCCAAGGTGGAACCAGCCATGACCCAGCGGTGCCATAGTCTCACATGGCCCAAGTTGGAATGAAGTACTCTTGTTTTGTGTTTTTTTGTTAACAGACGGAATCCTTCTCTATCCATAGACTACATGAACGTCCAGGATAACTTAACTTGCAATGAATCCATGGCGTTGTCGGAGGCACGACCTGTGTTCTAACCCATCCCCCTTGTCCTATCCTATCCTACGCACCCTTTCCTTAGACGCTGCTCCCGGGGAGAAGCCCAGGGGTATCAAGACCCACCTGCGGAACATGCTCATCGTGCCTGAGATGATCGGCTCCATCGTCGGTATCTACAACGGTCAGTGTCTTTTTCCTGGCGGGATTGTTTGGCAAAGGGTATCCCGTCCAATATCGCACTCTCGACTGTTATGAGACAGCCCGCGTGTACCTTATTTTGATGTCCCCGATACATACGACCCACGTCTTTCCCCCCCTTGCACATGAGGGATGCAAATCATGAGTACGCCGCCCCCCCACCCCGCTGTCTTTGGCCTCCCCATCTCTCCATGCCCCCGGAACGATCAGGAAAGTCGATGAACGGCGTGGAGATCAAGCCCGAGATGGTCGGCCACTACCTCGGCGAGTTCTCCATCACCTACAAGCCCGTGCGCCACGGAAGGCCCGGGATCGGTTCCACCAACTCGTCCCGTTTCATCCCGCTCAACTAAACCAGCGGCAGCATGTCGTAAACGGCATGGACAAGGGGCGATGTGGCCTGCCTACAACGAACCGCGGAAGCCTAGTGAAGCTTGAAAGCGTGTGCTCTGTCGTGCAAGCGTAGAGCAGCTTTGTGTTGTGACTACCGTGCCTCGTGACTTGGCCTACCCTACTTGTAGTGTTGTTCGTACGGGAGGGAGCATCACGTCATTGATGGCGTGACTTGAGAGAGTGTCGTCAATTTTCTTGACTACCAAAAAAAAAATGCAAACACAAAAAATATTGCGGTTGCGCTTGGCTCGCGAAGTCGGGGACTGCGGTCCGACAGTCGAAGAACGGTTTCTTCCCGGTTGGCACTCGCTCGTTTGTAGCGCGAGAAAAGCGTCATGTACAGGATTCGTTCACCCCTCGCTACTGAGCTTGTTTGGTTCTTGGCCTCGGCAATCCCAACAACGGGCATATTGTGCCACAGGTCAAGTTAAGGAGATGGCTAAGCTCCGTCGCCCCCGACGAGCCCTTGGCATCTCTTCCTTCCCCACAATACTCGGCAAAAGAAAACGATGCACATTGCAACTGACGAAAAGGAGTGCACTCTGCAGGTCCGTGCTCAGCAACATCTCCTGGTATAGGTACGAACTTGTTTCTTCACTTCGACTGAAGTTTCTGGAAGGCATCACATCTCGAAAACCCCACAAAAACCCACAGACACCGAAACTGGTGTAATATTTACCTAATGGTCGTTTCTGTGTGTAAACGGGAGTCGGATCACCGGGCCGCGTACCCATCTGCAGTCTGACATCAGGCATTTCCTAGGATACGAGGGGGCTCACAGAACTTCTGCTGACTTGCGAAAACCTTTCGGATCCATTTATGTTACCTTTTGTGGGGTAAGTTAGCCTGTGACTGCTGTGACAACGGGATCGAGCCCGTCAAGTGATGCTGTAGACATGTAGAACGGACAGAAAAAGGCTGGGCAGCAGGCATAGACAAAGGTATATATACGCTCTGCAAAGCGCGTTACAGTAGTAAACTTGATCGAATTCACAAGTCGCGAGGGAAGGGATCGCTGTACCATTGTCGCGATAAAAATTCTTCAGGCATGAACCGCAGGAGGGGGTCCAACCCCTCCCTCCTATGTGACCCCGGTTGGGTCGTCTAGCTAGTAGAAGTGGAGGATAGGGGCTGGAGGGGCAGACGACAGAGTCCAATGATGGGAGAAAAAAAATACTCCAGACCATAAAAGTTCTTTCCTAGATATAGCTTTGAACGAAACGGAAACAACAGAGGGCGGGGGCTCTTTTTGTTTGGACCAATAGAAACCAGAAACGGGTATATCCGGGTACTTTATCACCACTTTAGGGTACAGTTAGAAATCAACACGCTTGCACCCCCAGGCTGTCAGTTGATTGGCCGAAAAAACATTGTACCCATTTCTGAAGAAACCTCCATCAGGTACGACTTCCGCTGGGATAAGGACCCTCTGGTGTGACCGATATTGGTTACTGGTGTACCCGGAAGAGGTCGATTTTGTACCCATAACTGGTCATATAATCCTGGCGCCCGACGCTCTAGAATAAACCTGCAGAAAAAAACGTGTACCGCACATACCGTGTACCGCACATACCGTGTACCACACATACATAACCACAACCAAACCACCAGCAACGCTCGTTCGTTCATCGTTCGTGGGCACCGCCTCCATAGGATACCGTCCCTTCTCAACAGAGAGTCGGACTCGTTTGACGCGCGAGTACTTCGGTATGGTACTGATCAGTAAAAGCACAGAGAGAGAGAAAAACGGGCACGACCTGCCTCGTGCATCATGCTTCCCGGCACAGGACACACAGGACACAGAGAGCGGTTTATTGGTTTCGCCGCGATCTACGGCGGGTGTCGTCTTGATTTCCAAGTGTACCCTGAAATGGTGATATTTGTTCGTTGCTTTCGAAATTGCATTAATTAATTGGTCGTACCCCCCCACGCTTGAACAGGGCGGGGAGAGAAGAGCGGAACTCGGGGATCTCAACCTATCCCCGTCCACAACACCATCAGTATAAACCAGTCACCGCACATCAGGCATACTCTCAAAGTCATGCCTGCCCCCTCTCCTCCACAGACTCCGATACATCCATGCATACAACACATACTCCGAAGCATACGAATGCATAGAGAATGCCGAGCTACATTTCCACAGAAAGGAAATAATGCAAAAAAACAGATACAAAGATTGCCCGGCACCTCAAAGCCCCACACATGTTGTAAACATACTCCTAGCACCGCACTCATCCCCCTCTCACTCAGCGCCAGCTGTAAACAACAACTAACTTCCAACTGCGCGCCCACTCCCCCTGGGATGTTGGGTGCTCCCCACACTCTCTTCTCTCCAAATTGCACGCATGTTCCGATATACCGACCTCAATATACCGCACATCATATACCACATTGATTGTGATGCACCGTGAAGTACACCACTGCATGCCCATGTCTAGTCGCGCTATCTCGTCAAGCTCATCAACGGTCGCACACACGCGTCACCCCACGAACCCCCACGTTGGGTTCGCACCCGCCACCCGACCGCCGGCCCACGGCTACAGCCGACCCTGTCGACCATCACCAATCATCCAGTCACTGCTGTGCACTCGCCGCTCGTGGCACAGAAACCTAGGCGCTCTCACCAGCACTGAGAGTACCGCCAGCATCTCTAACGCGACAGACACACCCGGGCAAGGACCATCTACCCAAGAGACCCTCGCCCCATCAGCAGTATCGGCAAACGACCACACCTTCCTCATTCGCTACTGCTGGCGATCCGTCCCCGCCCTACCACTGAAACCCCCAAAAGCAAAAGGGTGGGTGGGTGGGAAAGAAATAGATCTCCTCCGAAATATATCTTGGCTGCAGCAGCCTCCCTCGTGCTTCCTTGGGGCAGACCAACAAGTNTCACCCCACGAACCCCCACGTTGGGTTCGCACCCGCCACCCGACCGCCGGCCCACGGCTACAGCCGACCCTGTCGACCATCACCAATCATCCAGTCACTGCTGTGCACTCGCCGCTCGTGGCACAGAAACCTAGGCGCTCTCACCAGCACTGAGAGTACCGCCAGCATCTCTAACGCGACAGACACACCCGGGCAAGGACCATCTACCCAAGAGACCCTCGCCCCATCAGCAGTATCGGCAAACGACCACACCTTCCTCATTCGCTACTGCTGGCGATCCGTCCCCGCCCTACCACTGAAACCCCCAAAAGCAAAAGGGTGGGTGGGTGGGAAAGAAATAGATCTCCTCCGAAATATATCTTGGCTGCAGCAGCCTCCCTCGTGCTTCCTTGGGGCAGACCAACAAGTGCTCCCAAGTCTACTCTTCTGGTCAGGTTTCAGACACTTCATGCTGACTCCATGCTGCTGCTCTCTGATTGGCCAACAGATATTTCATCTTCCGCTCCTCACAAAACTCAGATTGCAACGCCTGTCTCTGTGACCTTCTGCTTTGCTCGTTGCTTTCGAAATTGCATTAATTGGTCGTACCCCCCCCACGCTTGAACAGGGGGGGGAGAGAAGAGTGGAACTCGGGGATCTCCACCTATCCCCGTCCACACCACCATCAGTATAAACCAGTCACCGCACCATCAGGCATACTCTC